CACCTAAATTACTATAAAATGGGGAAAAAAAAAAGAAAAAAGAAAACAATATATAGGGGTGTTTATTGACCAAAACCATAAGCTGTTTTGCATTTGGAAATGGAACCATTTCACCAAGGGTTAACTTACCAAAAAAAAAGTTTCACCAAGGGGGGAATTCATTGACATCCCCAAAAGAAATGAGAACATATAATTGCAAAAGTACTTATGATGCTGGGGAATGGAGATGGAAGGGTGAAATATTATGAAATAAGCATATGATCGTAACATAATAATTGCACCCAAAGACCCACTGCGAGCTTCCCCACCACGCCACTGTTTCCATTCCATTATGCTACCCAGTATTTCACTCCATACTTATTTTAAAGACCATGTTACGAAATATAAAACTTTGCTCGAGCCATCAACGACATTGACTTGGGGAGCCATGTGTTTTTGTGGGAAAACACCGAACTAGAAAACAGGTTCAGGACTGGGTACTAATTAACACTCAAAAAGAACATGGGCCATGGACTACATCTTCAGGTATGACTAGCTATTAGACTTCCCCCAGTTTCCTAGTTTCCTAAGGACAAACTAGATGCTTATTTTTAAGGAGTTGTAGGTTTTCAAGGTTGACCAGCTGAAAAACGTATAGGAATATTTATGAAAATATTTAAATATTGTTAATAAATTAATATGTATTGGTGGTTCATTAAGGGTACTTTTTTTATATATTAAATAATAAATTACACAATAAAAAGTAACTTTGTCATTCTTAAACATCTTATCATTTATCTCAAGATTTAAATTTAAGATTTGTAACATAAAAATTTAATTTTTAACTAATAAATTATTTGCTATGAGGCAGTTCATTAAAAGTACTTAAATAACCATTTTCTTCTTACATGTCAACATAAGAAACACTTTTCTATATTTTTAATTGAGTCTCCGGTTATACAATTTTGTACAATTTAAACAACACGATATGGACTCTTAAATGAAAAAATGATATCTAATATCAAGAAGTCCATCACTCATCCAATAATTTCTATTGTGCAGCTAAGCCGTACAATTTTTGGTTCTTTTTTCTATTAATATATGAAATTATGAATCAATCTACATCCATTTTTACATTTTAAAATGGGTGTTTCTGCAATAGCAACCTCCACGATACAGCTTGAAACCTGACGCCGCAGAAGCATTTGGGTCACGAATTTGCTAATGGAATTTGAAAGGATCATTAGGCCCAACGTTATAAAACTAATAGCTCTACGAATGGCCCAAGCAGCCTCCTATCTCGGACTCTGGCAAACAAAAGCAAACATTCATTGGGCCCAGATCTTGGCCTTGCAATATTTACATGCAAGTAATGTGTTTGTTTCTTTAAAATATACTGCATTATTTATTTATTTTTTATGTATAGGTTTCGTCACATTGAGCTTCAAAGTGTGTTTAATTAGAAGAAAAAGGACGAAAACCCTTCATTTTCTCTTTATTTTCCTCCAATGAAACAAATTTTAAGATTTCAAAATTGAAATTTTAAAAATTTAATTTAGAAGTAAGCAAATATTATTTTATAGGTCAAATATAAAAATCAAAATTTGAAATTAACATTTAAAAATATTGATTTTCTAGAGTGCATTAAATCAATATAAGATTTAGGGCTGTAAATACTAAAAACAAAATTTCAAAATTGAAGTCTTAAATTTAAATTGAGATCTTTAATGAATAATGTGTTTATTGTTAGTATTTTAATTAATTTAAAAATGCAATTTTCTTGCAAATAATAAATAGTGATTTTTTCCTTTTTATTTTTAAATAATTGAAAATAATTCTTGTGGATTTAATGTTTTTAGAAAACAACATTAAAAAGGAAGAACTAAAGAGGAAAAGGGACTAAGAACTAAGAAGAGTGGAGTGCCGTGTTGGTTGGGAGATTAGCGGGTGTCGGCATCGTAGGGGAGTTGGCTAACCCTCCAAAACCAGGCCGTTCCGCGCGTTCCCTAATTGATTCCAACATATTTCTAAAATTTAGACACTTGGCTTTCTGGCCAATTATGTTAAGTCACATATAAATGCATTTTCTCACTTTCAGGTAACGGTTCAAATCCGTCCCTTACAAATTTGTTCAAAAAAAAATTTAGAAAATTTTGTTCAACCAATCATTACTTAATTAATGACCATTTTTATGCCTTTGTCTCCAACACCTTCTTGCTAGTTTATCCACCATAACCTAATTTTACGTCAAGTCTACATACCAACATATTCAAAATTTCTATGAAAGAATTTTTTTCCGTGATATTATGGTTTATGACTATAGAACATTCATTTCTAATTTGAAGTATCAAATTTATTGATTTTGTTTGATTGAAATATAAAGTTCTTATCGGTTGAAGTATTTATTTAGAGATTGATGTATTACTCTCCTTAAGGTAAAGGAAATGAGAAAAAATTAACGACTTAGAAAATGTAAAAAAATTAATAATTTGTTGATACAAGTAGAAAGAATTCGATTTTTTTTTTAATAATGTCTTGAGTTCAAATATTATAAATAAAAAAATAAGTATTAAGAGAGTTTTTCTCTTATGAGATTAATTTACCTTTACTATAAGTTAATCAAATTTTAATATAAATTTCGAATACTAAGAGTTCAATATAAACAAAAATAAAAAATAAAGTTAATGAATGCTATGGTAGATGATATTATTAAAAGTACTTTGAAAGGTATAAATTAAATGACACTAAAGGAAGAAGGGACTGAACCGGGAAGTTAATGGGTCTAATAATCCCAGTGTAAATTGATTACTATTCCCCTAACCCTAACTTCAATAATTGTCTATAACAGTGTTGCAGAAAAATTGATTAACTCAGAAGAAAAATGGGTACCCACAGCCTCTTTTGGTCCCAAATTAGTGTTCACAGCTGCCTCTTTTTTGGCCTCCACACCACATCTAATGATCCCAACACTCGCACCTGAAATTAAAGGACAAAAATTAATTGGTTAACCTAAAAATGAGTTACGAACCAATTACATCCCCAGCAGGCCACCACCCCATTTGTTACAGATGCTGACATTTTTCTTCTTAACGGGTGAAAGTGGATGCAGCTTC